CCCAGCGAGCCGGCCGGCCGGGCCTGGCCAAGTCCCTCCCCAGACCGCCCGGCGTCTGCGCCGCCGGATGCGCGCGGGGCCGGGAAGCAGAGGAGGGGGTGCCGGGTCCAAGCGCGCGCGGAGAGGACGGGAGGAGAGCGCTGTGAGCCCAAATGCGGAGCCGACGCCGGAACAGCGGCCCACCCCACCCCAGGACCACGCCTGCGCCTTCAACCCGGAGGCGCCGCGCCCAGACTGCTCTCGGGGGCATCGAGGTGCGGGGGAGGGGGCGGCACCTCAGCGGTGGCTGGCGGGGCGGGGTGCGTCTCGGCCTCCTCCGTGCACCGTCAGCCCAAGCTCACCCAAGGGAGTGCTGTTTCTGCAACGTGGCTTCTGGATCTCCAGCACTCTGGGAAATGCGAACCCTTGTAAATTTTAGCCTAAAATCGTAGTCAGGGCGCTAAGTGGGAAGGGGCACAGACAGATCCTCGACCCAGGGACGAGCTCTGGGCCCCAGTGCCCTGGGAGTGTCACAAGCCAGGCGTGTTGGAATCCAGCCCGGCAGCCTCTCCAGCAGGACCAGGTAGGGGGCTGTGGGGTGGGGGCCAATGCAGAGCCTCTCCCTTGCCTTGGATTCCCATGCTGCGCCGCTCTTTGCCCTGTGTGAGCCTCGCTTGGGACACATAAATTCATCATTGAGTCTGGTGCCTGGTCCAGTGCCTGACATTCAAGCATTGCCCACTACTGCTTGTTGAGAGGAGAGGATCCTGCCTGTCTCCTTAGTAAAATCAATGCCCGGAGCAGGAGCTCAGGCCGAGTTGAGTTGGAGGCTGTGTTGGGATGGGGATGGGGCTAGAGAATGAGGAGGACTGAGTTTGGGATGCGCCTCTGGAAGGACACAGCTTCACCCAGGAAATAGAGTGATAACTTTTCCCTGCCTCAGCACATAGTGTGCAGACAGGGTGTCTCCCTTGGCCTTGGGCTCTCAGGGCTGCAGCTCCCAACCTTCCTATGGTCTGCATCCTGGATAGCAGGGCTGTGGCCAGCAGCCTCAGGATAGACTGGGTGGGCTGACCTGGGGTTCTGGGGTGTAGGTGTGGGGGCCTCCTGGGACCGCCCCCCCCAAGTCTCCTGGTGCTGTGGTCAGTCCTGTCCACCACTGGATGGCTCCCTTACTGGGTTCCTGATTCTGTTGCTCCCATCCTGGAAAGGCCTGTCTGCTAAACAGGTCACCTGAGATGCCCCTTACTCCTGGCCCGACTCTGTCTGCTGTCCTAACAATGCTGTCACTAACGACGCTTTCTTCTATGTCTCTTGTTTCTCCCCAGTGCATGTGCTCTGCCAAGGTACTCTCAGTTGATGTTCTGCTTAGCGCCAGGCTCAGAGCAGATGCCCAGGGAAGGGACCACAGCTGACCAGCTGAGAGTCAGTGCCAGCAGGCTAAGGTGACGTGCAGAAATGGTCCCTGAAGGGAGAGGATGCCCCACAGAGGCAAGGATGACATGCCTGCAGCCTGCTCCTTTTTTTTTTTTTACTTGATCTGAGGAGTAACTTGATTTGATTCAATCCATTAATTCCTGAAAATTACAAAGAGTAAACACAGATGGATACACTCAGAGACACAGACACACAAACACATACACACAGATATACACATAGACATACAAATGTCTGTGTAGACATACACACATACACATACTCAGAGACACATGCAGACACACAGACATCCAAACATACATACAGAGACGCATAAGCAGACACACATAGACATACAGACATACAAACATACACAGAGACACATACATATACACACACAAACACAGACACATACTCAGAGACAGAGACACACATACATAGACTAGATGTACACACATATAGACAAACACACAGAGATGCATACAGAGATACACACACGCGCACACACACACACACACACACACACACACACACGCAGACACCCCGAGATGGTTCCGGGGATTTTTCGTGCACATTCTGGTGCTCCAATTAACCACTGTGAAACATGTCAGATGGTGCCAGGAATTATGTTTTCTGCAGAAAGGGTGACATTTGGGTTGTGAGGTGATTACTGCCTTATCAGGGATGGCCAGGGAGACCCTGGGAGTGCCATCAGAGTAGGAATGTATACATAAGGAATACCCCACTTGGAGGTCTCAGGAGAAAGCAGGGAGTGTGCAAAGGCCCTGGGGGTATATGGACACTCAGAGAGCTATCAGCAGGCTGGGGAGGCTAGAGTTGGGGAAGAGCATGGGGCAACATATAGGACCTGCAGGTGACCCCAGACTGGACTGTGACCAGACTGAGACAGGCCAATGGAAGGTAGGGGCAGAGGGAAATTATGGGCCTCAGATGAGACTTCTGAGCTAGGGTTGGGGCTACCTCCTGGCAGCGAGAGGAAGCTGAGAGCAGTGGGATGACTGAGGTCCCCACCAGAACCTGGGGAGGAGCCAGGAATGGTCTGGGACGAATTGCATTCTAGCTTACAAGCTCCCTGGGGAAGCATTGCGTAGGAAAGAAACCTTCCCGGAAGACCTCAAGGCCAGCAGGAAACTTCCTGGGGACCAGAGCCAGTGTGCCCTGAGTCAGGAGGTCCAGGAAGCCCTGAAGGGATCCCCAGGAGGTTGAGAAGCAGGACCAGTGCCCTGGGGTGAGAAAGGAGGAGCCAGAGTGAAGCCTGGGGAAATCCCTGGTGGTCTCCCTGCCACTGTGGGGCAGCCGTGGGGTGGGGGATGACAAAAGGAGGCTCTGAGAAATGGGGACCTTGAGAGGCAGGGAGGAGAACCTTGTGAAGGGCCCTGTCTCCCAGGCAGACAAAGAACAGAAAGGCAGACACGTTTAATAACACGTACGCCTCTGGCGCGGGGTGCCTGGGCAGGTGTTCTCATAGACATGTGGACTACTTTCAGGTTTAAATACCATCGTCTAGGAGCAAAGAAAGCAGCTGTGGGGAAGGTGTGTCAGGCAAGAGCCCTGTGGCTGCCTTCCCTTCCTTTCCTGATAGGAGAGTTCCTCTCTTCCAGGTGCAGTGGGAGATTCCTTGATGATTGTAAATTTTCTTTACAAAAGGGAATTCATTCTTGTTTTCAAGAGCTTTTTTATGATGCTTCAAGAGCTTTTTATGATGGCTCTTGTTTCTCAAAATAACTACCTCAAAATAATGTATATGCCAGATGCACATTTGGGGGCATGTTCTGTCTCCTACAGACGCATTTAGGGGCACAGTCTCATGTCCTGCATGTGAAACAGAGCAGAGAAATGCGTGAAGATGGGATGATGACAGGATGAATCTCCTGTTCCTGGACAGTGAGGAATCCTAAACACTGAAATTGACCTCAGGGGCCACAGGGCTTCTCTGAGGACACTCACAGGGGACACCACCCATCTCTACTATGCGTCCCAGTGTCAGTCATGGCAAGGAGATCCGCAGGAGAAAGATGGGCTTGGTGGACCCAGCAGCTTCCAAGAGGAGGATGCTCAGGCTGCAGTGGGGCTCAGGGCTGGCAAGCACCCCACAGGAGGGGCTGTGACTGGGCCAGAGGGCACCTTGGGGTTTCCCAGTAAATGGGGAGGGAGGAGGGACTTTCTGGGCAAGGAGTGATTGGGCAGGGTGTAGAGCCGGGCTCTGGAAGACCATGTTACTGTTGAGCTTCTGGGGCCTATGGTGACAGGGAAGCAGTCTGCCTGGTTTTATCACCAGCCAGTTGCTCTTTTGAGTTCAGGTTAAAGCAGGACTCCTCAGGGGTGGGAGGGAGATGGTAGAATACCTTAAGCCCCCAGGAGTGCCAGCCCCTAGCCAGCCTGGCTCAGCAGCCAGCACCAATCTTAAAGGCTGCTCATAGGTGGACAGAGGAGGCACAGGGAGGGGCAGAACAATTTGTGTGAGAGAAAGAGGCCCCACTTGTACATTGTTATATCCCAGATGTCTGGACAAAGCTGAAGAAATTCTTGCAATGAAGATCTGTGATATGGGCATCTGAGGGCACCAGGGTAGGAGAGAGACTTTGGGCTGTAATGTTTTGGGATACATGATGGTGAGGAGGGAGAGAGCTGAGGAAGAGGCCTTCCTTGAGCTGCAGGTCAAGGATTGAGAGTCCACAGCAGACAGAGCCCCTCACCTCAGATAGCCTTGGGTCCCGCTGAGGTCCCATCAGCAGCAGGATGACAGGCTTTCCTGCCCAAATGGTTGCAAAACACTGCAGAAGGGCCCAAGACTCCTTCCTGGGGTGGGATTGGAGGAGCAGAACAGACTGGGAGCTGGCACGTCTCTGTGCTCCCCTCTTGGCCTGATGTACCGTGGCCTACCAAGGGTCACAGTGGTGGAGAGGGAGGCCCCTGTTCAGGCCACCATCCACAACTGGGTCCTGGAGTGTTTCCCTAAGGATCACCCATCTACAAATCCCCAGGAAATGCTAGGGCTTCTGACTATAGGCAGCTCTGGCCACAGACTATTTTGAGAGTGTGAGGTAAGCAATGGCCTGGAGTGGGCAGCTGGCTAGTGCTCCATAAAGTGAGAGTGGAGGGAGAGTCACCTCTGCTGAGCATCTAGATGCTCTCACACATACATTATGGGGTGTGTGACTTTATTCCTTGTCTGGAATACGGTGCTGGTGGGGAAATAGTCTGGTTATCAGGATTCACATGGGAAATCAGGAGAAAATACATGTTATAGCATGAGTCAGGAATGTACTGCCAAGGTCTCTGGGCTCATAGGCAGGGTTTTTGCAAGGTTATTGAATTATAGAGGCTTATAGCTGACTTGCTGTTAGGAGGCAGTCTGGACAGAAGAGGCAAGTCTCTTGGGGCATGACTTGGAAGGATGTTTCTCCTTTCTTACCTCCTCCTTTCTCACTCTACTTCCTGGATGCTATGATAGGAGCAACTTTTCTTCTACCATCCCCCTCTGCCATGCTGTTTTCTGCCCTAGAGCTAACCAACCATGGACTATAACCATGAGCCAAAGTAAGCCTCTCCTTCAAATTGAGAATGTTGAGTATTTTGTCTCAGTGATGAGAAAGTAACTAAGACAGAATTTTGATACCAGAGAGGTGGGGTTGTTACTGGGGCTATTCCTGACCATGTGATTCAGAAACCTTTGGAAGCGGTTTATGGAAGAAGTTTGGAAAGGTTTGGAGATACCTCACAGAGAAACCCTAGAATGCTGTTAGCCAAGCTAGATGGGAGATTCTGGTCAGAACTCAAAATATCAGAATGCTGATAGAGGTGTAGATAGTAAAAGCCAGGCTCAAGAGGTTTCAGTTGGGAACAAGGATTCCATTTGCAGTTGGATTTCAAGACCAGTTCAAGACCATGTGTGTTATTCTCTGGCAGGAAATTTGTCAGCATTTTGTTCCTGCCCTAAGACTTTGCAGGAGGCTAAGATTAAAGACAGTGGACTAATTAATGTGGTAGAGGAAATTTCAAGGCAGTTCAGCATTCAGGCTGTAGCATGTGTACTGTTTGCTACTTTTAGTGATAACTATGTGAGAAGTAGAAGCAAAAAGCCAAGTTGAATACTTCAAAAAGTTTTGCTGGAGGCCAGAAAGGAAATGCCTATAAAGCTGGGGCCTGTAAAATTGGGGCCTATGAAATTTTGCCCCAGCATAGGTTGGCTGCTGAAAAATTAGCATTAAAACAAATCTAAGTACTTATAAATCAGGACAATAGAAAAGATGCCTTGAGGGCATGTAAGGAATCAGCAAGATACCACCCTTCCCAGGCTCATGAGTCTAAAAATTAAGAAGAAAACCCCAGGGCACTTTGCTTGTGACTGGTCCCCCAGAATTTGTTTCACAGTGCTCAGCAATCCAGGCAGTCAGAAGCCTCTGTGACCATGATCCAAGGGGGCCTACTTCTCAAGCTGGTGGCACTTTGGTATCATCCACGTGATGCTGGTTTTACAGGCATGCAGAATGCAAGGGTTGTGGAGTAAGGGAGGCTTCCATTTGGATTTCAGAAGAAGGCCTGGGAGGCCAGGCAGTGTCTTCCTGAGAGTGTGGTGCATGAAGCTATGAAAGTGAAGCCAAAATGCAAGGAAGTTGGAGAAGCCAGGAATGTGGAACATGTGGTGAGGAAAGCTGAACACAGTAAACAAAACCAACTCCCAGAGAGAAACCATGAGAACTATAAAAGACAATGCATATGGATGGGGCTGCCCAGGCTGTTATGGAGCTCACATCAGGCTATAACTTGTCCTGGTTGCTGTGCATGGAGCTATAGGGCTTAATGTTTGGCCTGCTGGGTTTTAGTCTTGCTTTGGTCCCATTCCTTTCTATCCTTTTATACTGTATCTCCCTTTTTGAATGGAATGTTTACCCTGTGCCATTGTATGTCAGCAGTGTTTAACTTTCTTTTTGATTTTTACAAGGGCTCACAGTGAAAAGTCTGCCTTGTGTCTCAGAAGAGACTTTGGACTTGGACATCTCAGCAATACTGTTAACAGTTTGGCAACTCTTGGAGATGGACTACATACATTTTGCATAAAGAGATGCTTGTGAGTCTTTTGGGAGCTGGAGCAATGTGTTACAGTTTAGGTCAAGAATGTCTCTCTAAGATCTTATGCATTCACAGGTGGGGCTTGTGGAAGGTGATTGGATCATGGAGGTGCTGTACTATCAGTGGCATTATCCACTGGGGACCCAAGCAACTGAGTATGCATTGGAAGGTGGGGCCTAGCCAAAAGAGGCAAGTCATGGGGAGGGGTATGTCTCTCTCCCTGGCTCCTTCCTTCTCCTTCTGCTTCCTGGCTGCCATGACATGAGCAGCTTTCCTCTGCTGTGTCCATCTGCCATGCTGTTCTGCTTTGGAGCCAGTCATCTGTGGACTGAAAACATAATCCAAAATAAACCTTTCCTTCTCTAAATTACAGGTGTTGGGTATTTTTGTCCCGGTAATAAGAAAGTGACTAAGACAATATGTTTGTGGGCAAGGGAGCCAAATAAGTGTTTGGGCTGTCTGAGGGACTTCTGGAAGTGGGGTGGCTGCAGCTAAGGGCCAACAGACTACGGCTGGTCATCTGGGCCATCCACTCCCAACCATGTTCCAGGAGATGGAAAACAGAACTTTGATAAAAGTTAGTGACAGGTCAAGAAGCCAAAAACCATGCAAATTATGTTTTGTATCCTTCAGTGATGGGATTTATTTTCTATCAGACATGGAATTCTCACAAAAACTGACCTTCTTTGGACTATAAAAAAAATGTCAAGAAATTCTAAAAGGCAGCTAATTGACTGAATCTAAGCATCTATGCAGGTACATATGCATACCATATATAACCTGCAACCAGGACACAGGACATGTGATATAATAAAACAAATGCCAAATATTTCCAGCTGGAAATTAAATCACAAATAGATATTCATACACAATTTTGGGCTTATAAGAGGAAAGCAGAATGAACACAAACAAGGACAGGACCTATCAGAATCTGTTGGATGCTGCCAAAGGGATACTCTCGGGAAAACTGGAGAGGGGGGTGTGCTTCCTAGAAATGACTAAATGACTGAAAACAGGTGAGCTAGCCTTTGGGTTGAGAAACTAGAAAGAGAGCAATGAACTAGGGCAAAAAATAAAAAATAAAAAAAAAGAATGAAAGTAATGCAGAGGCAAACAAACAATGGTGGAGGTGATTAATAAAGTGAAGATCACTTTCTGGAAAAAGACTAGTGCTTCAGGAAGTTAACAAAAGACAAAGATTAGTGCTGTGGGAGTGAGAAAAGAATGTGAGTAGAAACAAGAAAGGCAGAAAGACCAGGCCAGCCCGGATTGGTATATTTGAGGATGCAGAGAAAATGGGTATTTTTTTAAATTCAAATTACTGATACTGATTTAAGAAATACTAAGAAGCGGGGCTAGACTACTGTTAGCAGGAAAAACTGGAAGAGGTGGAATCTTTACCCCAGACCAGAAGCCAGGCCAGACATTTGTCACCTGACAATTTTATCAAACAATCAAGGAGTAGAAGTTTTGTATCTTACAGCAGTTATTCCAAAGCAGAGGAGAAAGGCAGAGAGTTCACAACATTTCATGACTTCTGAACATTGTTGCTGGCCTCAGATGGGACCAGGGCTCTCAGAAGCCAGGAAGGACTCACTATCTCACAGATTGAAGAGAACGTCATATTATTCAGTAGGGCCTGAGAAACTGCAAAATGTAATGCATACTCCTGTTGAAAAGTCTAAGCAAATCTAACGGCAAGAAGTCAGCTTTCTCTGAGTGGGGCATCCATGGCAAACTGGACCTCCAACACTCCCGCTGACAGGGAGGAACTTTCAGACCCAGCCATTGGGTGTACCGCAGGCCCCCAGGAATGGTCCAGCTCCTTCCCTTTATAGAAGTCAGTCCTGACGGTGACGCTAGTTGCACCCACACCTGTCTTGGCCCTGCTAACCGGACATCTGATGATGCCACAGCCCTTTTCCTCCTTTCCTTCTCCCTCCATGACACCTCTGCTTGGCCTTGTCTGCGTCTCCTTTCCCTCTTCTTCTCTGGGCCAATAGGCACAGCTCCGGACCGTCTCTCCCTGAATGGAGCCTGCTGACCTAGTCAGTGTGATTGTGCATGGCAACACCATTGATGTCCCGAGGCTCCAGAACTCTGAATCCTTGCAAGAACCTCAAACCCACGTGTCCAGGACTAAATTCTCTCCAACGTTGCTCCTCATGTGACGTCTCCTAGGCTATTTTTTAAATTTAGGCTCTAAATCATGGCCTCATCCTCTACATAACTCCTGTAAACATAAATTTTAAAATATGTCCCCAGCCAGCCCTTCTCACAGCCTCTTCAGCTAAGTGCAGCTTCTGAACTGGCCTTCTGTTTCCTACCAGTCTCCACTGCCTGTTCACACAGCATCAACAAGCCTCCCAGGACAAATCAGGTTGTTTTTCTGCTCAGACACCCTCAATTTCCCGCCTCTTCAGAGTGAAGCCCATGACCATGGCTGCCAAGACCACACAGCACCTACTGCCCACCGTGGTGACCCACCTTGCCTGTCTCTCCCCTCAGTGTGTTGGGCAAGCAGGTTCCTGCCACAGGGCCTTTTCACCGCTGTCTCCTCTGCTGAAAGCTGCCTTTCCTCCAACACCTGCTGGCTTACTCCCTCCCATCTGCTAGATTTTCATGTAAATGCCACGCTTGGTCAATAGGGTCTTTCCTGGTGTCCTCCCCAGGACCCACAGGGCGCTTTCTGTCCCTTATCTGACCTTTTCCTCATAAATCATGATGTGTGGATTTATTTTCCAGGCTCTGTATGTCAATACATGTCTCTGCGTGCAGATTTACATTATTTTCATTGCATCTGACTGATGGGCGGGACTCCATGAGTCTCTGGCTCCCCCACTGTGTCCCACATGGGGAAGAGCTCTGCACCAACCGGCCTGGGGGCATAGACCTCCTTGAGGGAGCAGTTTTGTTCTTCTTCGTGGAACAAAGTGAGCTTGCAGTCATAATTTTATATAATAAAGCGATGTCCTAGAATTCACAAAATAGTCACTCTCTCTTAAAGGAAAAATAAGACAAATTCAAAGAACTGTGGGGCAGTGGGCAGGAATTACACATGGGCCTTAGTGGCAGGGGAAGGTGTGTTTCATAATCAGACAGTTGCTGGTCTTTGAAGGACCTAGGAGGGCTGCAGGTTCAGGGTGACCTCACGCTCGCTGGCAGGAAATGAGACTGCCCTCTGCAAGCAGAAATGGCATCCATGACACAAAACACACCTGTAACTCACAGAGGGCAGAAGAACACCCAGAACCCCATGGCTGAGCACCCTGAGACACCAAGTCATGGAGAGCTAATGCTGTGTGTCAGCAGCTCCTGGAGGAACAGAGCTGGAGTCCTCAGGCCATTCGAGGAATGTGTCAGCCTTCACTTGTGGGTACCACACCTGCCACCCACCAGCACCTCTGCTGCAGGATGCCTGGGGATAAGTCCCGGTCCCATGTAAACCTGCCAGTCTCTGGGCATCAGGCTTACAAGGGGGTAGTGATGGTCTGTGCCTTCTATAGGGAATCTGTTGGGCAAGGCTGCTCCAGCCTTTGCTCTGCAAGACACAGCATGCTGCTCGGCCCTGTCCCTTTTCCTGAGGCTGCTCCCCGTCCCCAGATGACCTGTGTTCTCTGCAGGATACAGTCAGCTCCTTCCCCTCCCCGGCCACCTCAGCCCCTTTTTGCTGAACCAATGGGGAAATGGAGGCAAGGATGTGCACCCCAATTACTCCCATAGCCCTTCGTTGACCTTTCAGTCTCCACCCCAACTAGAGACACAGGAGCAAGGATGTGTCAGACGTGGCCCCACTTTAAGGTGCCCAGGCACACATGAGCACTCACTTGGGACTTGTACCAAGAAGGTACTTGTATGATGTCCAGACATATAGACTTATACATTAAGAGCTATTGAATTTTTTTTTTTTTTAAATGGCTGGGGCCTCTGCTTTCCTTGAAGACCTTACTCCAAAGTAGGAGAGGCTGGGCTGGACTGGATGGGGAGCAGAGCTGTGGGGAGGGAAGGGGATGCCCAGGGCTGACACCCTTAGGATGAGGCCTAGGAGGGGGCACTTTGCCCAAAAGACCCAGGGAAAGGATGCAGACCAGAGCTGATGGCCTCAAATGTGGGTTGAGTTGGGTGTGACCCTAAGTGCCTTGGTAGCATCTCAGTGAATCTTTGTCACAAAGTAGGCCTTGTGTTCACCGTTACTATATTTATAAGGAAACACGGCCACCTCCTGCAGTATTCTGGAGTCAGGATAGGCTTTGAACCTGGTTCTGACCAGAACCGGTCAGAGTCTTCTGAGTCCCTGAAACTATCTTTGCTGTGAGTCCTGGGGCTCCAGCATATCCTGGGGAAGTGTTGCTCACTGGAGAGGGTTGCCTCGCAAAGCCCAGGACAGCTCCGGACCACAGGCCCTGGCCTTGCTGGTGGGTTTTCCCACCGTACATATCCAGGAACTCTTCCCCTCTTCTGCTGAAACAGACCAGAGGCCCCTCCATACTGCAGAGATCCCATAAGGGCCCCCTATGGTAGGGCTGGGCAGGGAAGCTCTGTGGCCTTAATGTAATGGGAAGATAAGCAAAGTAGGGCCAGGCCCCAAGGGCAAGAGGAAAGTAGGGCATCCCTCCACCCCTGCTCTGACAAGGGACCTGCCCAGCCCTCCAGTATGTGTTGATCAGCCTCACTGTGGTTCTCAGAGACCAGTTGGAAGCAGTTCTTCCTATGAACACAGTCACTACAGGGGGGGTGACTCAGATCCAAAGGGAAAGATATGGGAGAAGAGAAGAGAAGAGAGGAAAGGAAGGGAAGGGAGGGGAGAAAAGGAGAGGGGAAGAGAGAGGAGAGGAGAGGAGATGAGAGGAGAGGAGAGGAGAGGAGAGGAGAGGAGAGAAGAGCACTTTGGGTTGTTGCTTTGGGGTAGCCTGAATTATCCCGAGGCCACAGCTCCACAGCCCAGAGGGACGTGGGAGACAATGGAGCCATGGGCATTGATGATGTTATTGTAAATTATCTCCTTTCAACAAGTGGAATGTGACTCTGGTGTCCTCCAACCCTGGCTAACTTGCATGTGGAAAGCAAAATTGTGACTTGTGAGATACTTTCATCTCCAAGTTGCTAGTGATGTCATCCTCTCTCTTCCTGAGCATGGGGAGTCATTTCAGAAGGAGGCATTTTGTGGAACAAGCAGGCATTCGTCAAACTTTATTTTGTACATGAATGTGATCTACAGGTTTGGTGGTTAGAGATAGCAAAGCAAATATTAGACAATAAGATTGGGTATTTAGAAGCAAGTGCAAAAT